AAGTTATACTTGTAGGATTTACTAGCCCTAAACTGAAAAACAAATACCCTTCCATATGTACCAAAATCTAAACCCCTCGTGAGAAGGTTTCTCAATATTATTCTTGATTCTTAAAACCCATCTGGATTTTAGTCATCATTCTCTGAAAGGAAAAAAAATGGGTGCTAACTACCATTGGATCTGCATGGAGAGTGCACATGTGTCGATTCAAGCATAGAATTAGTAAAAATTTTAAGGACAACAAGGCTAGATGGAGTAACCGCCCCAAAATGATTCCTGAAAGCGATTTTCGGATGCTATTGAAGCTATGGAATTGTAAAGATTATCAGGTATATTGAAAGACATGAGTGTATTTCTAAACTCAATAGATATTATATATTATTCACATATTATGTTTGAATACATGGAAATGTATTATTTGTAGCAACAATGTTCTCGTAACAAGCGTAACCACAGTCTCCAAAAGGATCACCACACAGCTGGTCGAGAGTTTTTTGCGAGAATTCGTGATAGATTGGTATACAACTTACATATATTTTATATGGTTTATTCTGTTTTGATTCAAGAAAACATATCAAAGTTCTGTTTTTTGTCTCAGGAAGCTGAGCTTCAAGATAGTAATAATGTACCTTTATCAACTATGTATGAAGTCACACGCAAAAGAACTGAAGGGCGGGAGTACAAAGATGCTAATGAAGATACTCTCACAATAATTGTAAGTTTTACATTTTTGAAACAAATCAGACAAGTTTTGAACCCACTTGGGGTGTATATTAGATTTGATGAATCTGTCAAGTAATTCAATGAGTGTGGATAAGCATGTGGAGTGAGCAATACTACTTTTGTTTCTGTCAGATCTCAAAAGTAATTCAGTCTCATACTCTCATATAAAGCCTAATTAGGAGTATTATGGCTTCTTCAATTGGTTTCAATTTTAGTAGAGTCTCATTATCTCATATCAGGCACCACTGGCCACTGGCCACTGGCCACTGCAATTGATTTCAATTTTAGTTTAAAATTCTAGACTAATTGAGGCCTTGAGTAGCAGGGTTTGATACTTTGATGGTTATGATTTCTTCAAGTTTGGCTAATTACTTCTAGAGGCTGGATTCTTACTATTTTAAATTGGGCAGTAGTGTAGACTTTAGAGCTTTAGACCATCATGTTAATATTGTTAAGAAGTTATGATGGGCAGTAGCTGTAACATACTAACATTCTGTCCAGGAAGGTAATGACATCCTCTCTATTTTAGTCCTATTGGAAGTTGGAACTATCATTTATGTGGTTTCAGATGAGTTGTTTTACATGGTTTATATTATTGCTCAAGTACTTTCAATTGTGAGGTTACTATTTTTTTAGGTTCAAATGAAGAACTATGAGGCACAAAATAAAGACAACAGTGATGCTCAAATTGATGGGTATTCCTATGTTATGTCAAGAGAGACTGATGGGATTCCCATAATGTGTGGTAGAGGTGTCACAAAGAAAGACCTTGCTAAGGTGAATGAAAGTGGACAATCAAATGTCATGACTCAAGATGATATGGAACTAATAATAAGCAATTTGAGAAAGCAAATTGAAGAGGAAAATGAAAAAAAAAGAATGCTGAAGTACTAGAACGAATGCGGAAAGAACGTGAAGGTGAAAAGCAAAGGATGAATTTGATACTATCAAAGCTAGCTACCTTGATTCCATATCTTGACCCTCACTTACTTGGACCATAAAGTTAAAACAAGGTATTATATTTAGTAGAATAGTTTATATTTAATTAATGATTCTTTTATATTTATAATATATCATTTATTAATTCTCCCTCTTTATCTTTTTTCAAAGGTATGCGGTGATTGTGGAGCAACAAATGACATTACACGCACTATACTCCATCGAGTCGTTTAATAATTTTGACATTTCTTATTTTGTTCAGTAGGCTAAGACTTTTATGCTTCATGTTTTTTGGAGATCTTTTTGTCAAAGTTTTGCAAATTTAGTATCTGACATTGTGATGGATTATGTAGAACACAATTCAACAAGTTTATTTCTTTCAGACAAATGCACGTGATGATATTTATAAGATAGATGTTTTGTATCATCATCATCATCATCATTATATATTATAGTTGTTGTTGTTGTTATGATTATTATTATTAATATTATAATAATTCATATGCAAGATGTAGTTGTACACCGTTCAATATAATTCAAACAATGTTGCTTATTAATTTGTACATGCGTTGCATATTTGAAAAAATGTTGTATGAATTTAAAATAGGTGATACATATTTCGAATCAATGTTGCAAAAAGAACAATAAACGTGTTACCTAAATATAATTAAAGTGTTGCTTTAAGTGTTATTTCTAGTGTTGCATTTTATATAAAAAAGTGTTACATCAGATAAATTTAACGTGTTGCATTTTATCCTAAAATATGTTGCATAAATTTATTTTTAAAATGTTGCATCTTATCAAAAAAATGTTGCATAACGTTATCGTTAAAGTGTCATTTTTTCTAAAATGTGTTGCGTAAGTTTATTGTTAAAGTGTTGCATTTTATGCAAAAATGTGTTGCGCAAACTTATTATTAAAGTGTTGCAAACAAGTGTTGCATTTGGTCTAATTATGTAACCGTTCTACATATTGTTGCTTAACATGCAAAATAGTATTGCATATAACTTTATGTAACGAGACCTGATGTAGCGCCCTTAAAAGTGTTGCTAAAACTGTTTGTAACACTATATCGGTCTAATGTAATACTTTTGAGGCGTTACAAAATATCAAATTTGTTGTAGTGAGTGGATATGTTTTCACTTTGGGAGGTGCATCCGTGTCATGAAAATCCTCGAAACAAACGATAATAGCTAGATCCACGATGGAGTTTGAGCTAATAGCCTTGGATAAGTGCACTGAAGAGGCTGAATGGGTACGCCATTTTCTTGAGGATATTCAAAGTTGGGAAAAGCCTATCCCTCCAATATGCATACATTGCGATTGTTAAGCGGCAATTGGAAGGGTACAGAGCAACATGTATAATGGTAAGTCTAGACACGTTCGTCGTAGACATAACACCATTAAACAACTCCTCAAAACAGGTGTTATCACTGTTGACTACGTGAAGTCAAAGGATAACATAGCTGATCCGCTAACCAATACATTGGATAGAGAATTGTTGGAGAAGTTGTCACGAGGAATGAGACTAAAGCCCGTGAATCGAAAAGTTCTATAGTGGATACCCAACCTAGTTGGTCCTAGGTTCAAAAGGGACAACTAAATTATAGAGCGAAGGATGGTCACTGTGAGGGTCTCAGACTCCTACCCACTCCTCGTTGAAACAGTGACTCCCGCACGAGGTTAGCAAAAATGTTTGCTTTAATGATTCTGAAATGTTGATCTACTCGATAACATTGGAAGAGTATGTGGGATACTCATGAAAGAATCACCTATGTGAGAGAGAAGAGGGCCGCTTCAAAGGAGAACTGTATAGGCTCAGTTCTTTAGAAACTCTTGCAGAACCAGAACGGTGACCCATGGCCAACACGGGCACACCCATGAGAACGGAACAAAGTTGGAAGGTTTGTGTGTAAAGATAGGTCAATGTTTACACGACGACAGTATAGTTCAAGGACATCGAGTCTACTAGACAACCAGTAAATAAACATGTCTTTACAACGGAAGGTTCAAAGGATAAAATCTACCTCTCCGTATGGAGGTATCATCCGGTGAACACAATGCGTCCTCCTATCTTCGTGTCTTTTTAAGTCTCGAAAATCATTTTTCATTCATGTTGTGGATTGTTGGAAAATGTGTTAATAAATTGCATTAAATGGTCATTTTGGGGCAATTTTTTGAGTGGGGTCCACTTCCGATTTGGGTCAGGTGAAAGTGGTTTCGAATTTTTCTTATTAAGGGCTACAATTCGATATATGGTGCACTCAAAACGGATAACGGGTGAATGAGAAATTGATTCTCGAAGTTCACTCGTTGAAATTGAAAAACTGGGAAAAATGATGGGTTTCTAGTGTGATTTATCCCACACCGGAAAACCCAAGGGATTTTCACCCCTTTATAAAGGGAACTCACCTTGAAGGAGTTAAGTTACATAAGGGGAAAGGCTCTCTTCGCGTGGAGGGGGTGTCGAGCGAATCCCGAAAACGGAGAAGAAAAACCACGACTTGCGTGCGCGAGCGACCTGCGGACACGAATGTCGTCCAAAAATCTATCTTTCAAAGATACGATATAATTTTTGTTTCTTCACGTAACGTTTTATTTTTGCCCAAAACCAGAACTGCTCCGCTTTCTGTTGGCTTCCGGACCAGAAGACCCGAGAGGGTTTCTGTTGGCTTCGGGACCAGAAGACCTCCCCAGAAGACCATGAAGTCTTCTGGTGGCTTTTTAGACCAGAACACCTCGTAGGGTGTTCTGGTGGGGGTATTCTGGTCGCGCACCAGAACTGCTCCAAGCTATTACAACCTTTAAATGCCCAACGTTCTTGTCTTTTAATGCATCTTTAAATCGAAAGTTTTCGACATATTAATGCCCAACGTGCTGGACATTTGTGTGCAACGTTCAGGTCCATTAAAACTCAGTTAACACACCACAAATCCTCCTATAAATAGATGACATGTGCTTGGCAACAAACACACGTTCACAAGCAATCATACACGTATTTTAGCTCGAAAAACACCTCCAAGTCCCTGAAAAATTCCTGAGTGTTCTACATTTGTTCCTGTTCGCCGGAACTTTCATTTGTGTGCTCAAACGTTAGTTTGTTACCCACCGTATCCTGGGAAACGGTCGTTGCAACGCTCCTAGCACCGTGGGAGGCGACGAATACGTTTTAAGGACATCGTGCGTAGCACGAGCTCTGACTAATTTTTGTCCCATCTATTTTCTGTTTTCTTTAGTCATTTAATTAATTAATTTTTATTAATTATTTTCTTTATTTTTCGAAACACACCCAACATATATACCATGGAGAGATTAAGTTTGGGGAGTAGTAACCAACTGAACATCACTTCATGACAATAGATCAAACCAACCATATCTACAAAGGAAAAGAGTTCCTCTTCCATCTTGTTGATGAAACAGTCCACTTCCATCTTGTCACACATGCAAACAGATAGAGTTAAAACATATAGTACAAATACTCATTCTGAACTCCTTAAGACCATACACAGGGAGCTGAATTTATTCCCAAACTTGATCTCATTCATTATTCAACCATACAGTATAGTACATATGATGATCCACTTAAATAGAAACAGGAAAGCACTGGAGGAGAGTATGTCCGGGCTGCCGAGAAGAGATCACATCAAGAGGATACCTTTGTGACATTGTTATTAGATCTGTTGTATTTCATGTGGCTCTTGACCAGCTGACCTGCGGCAATGGCAGACATAAGGGATAGCTCCCCGGCAAGAACTGCACCAGCCACAATAGTTGCCAAGAGCCGTGCATTTGAGCCAGGGCACTCTTTGTTTGCTCCCTTCACTCCCAGTAGGTTCAAGCAGGCCGATTGAGATGCAAGCTGAGTCCCCCCGCCAACAGTTCCTACCTGAATATAATGACAATATATATTATGTCTGCCTGGAAAAGCAACAACTGACATATTTTTAAGCTAGACGTGTGATTTTAAGTTTCACATATGGCATGCTTATTATATATGGAGACTGGAGTAGTTACTAATGTGTTCACTCAAATGCCAAGTTATTCACCAACTGTTATTGCTAAATCTCAGAATTCACCATTCACCAATATGAATGGGACTTGGAAGAAAACGAAGGGAATGTAATACCTCAATCGAAGGCATGGTCACAGAGACATGCAGGTCCTTGCCATCATTGACCGGTTCCATCATGGTGATGCAGTGAGAGCTCTCCACGTTCTGAGCTGGATCCTGGCCGGTGGCTAGGAATACAGCAGAGACAATATTGCTTGCATGAGCATTGAAACCACCAAGAGCGCCAGCCATTGCAGAACCCGTCAGGTTTTTTAGCATGTTCAGCTCCACTAGGGAAGCTACATCAGTCTTCAACACTTTCTTCACCACATCTTCCGTGATTATTGCTTCACATACAACCGACTTGCCTCTCCCCTCAATCCAGTTCACTGCTGCGGGTTTCTTGTCTGAGCAAAAGTTCCCTGTTTAATTTATTCCTATCTATCAGTCAACCCCGCCAATTAAAAATAAGGGGTAGGTAAGGAACAAATATACAATTGCACAACTAGACTATTGAGGGCATTAGGAAGGGTTGCATGTACGCAACCTTACCCTTGCACTAAAATACAAAGAGAATGTTCCCGAACGACCCACAATGAAATCACGTCGAAAATTGCATGTTAAAGAATATACGGAGTATTTTATTAGAATTTGGAACAAATATACCATTGAACTATATGGTAAAGAACATATGTACGGTTCAACTATATATCACAAAACATATACACCCCTTTACGATTTGGATATAAGGTTTTATTTGTTCTATGTTCTAACTTCATTTAAAGCTAACAAGAATTTGTGAGCTTTATTTTGTACCTCGGAGTATATTCTCATTCACTATTCATGTGGTGAAGTTACACCTCTTTTGACATTTTATTTTATATATCTAACTTTTATTAATTTCTTCTTTGCAATTCAATTAAACATTTTATGAAGTTTGTGTAAATTTAAATTACTACTAAATATTGACGGGAATTTGTAAGGTTTATTGTCACTCCGAACATTGTAATCCAAATAGAAACTTCTTTATTGAATGGAGCAGTATATTTTAATCCTATATGAAACTTCTCCATATCATCAAAGAATATATCAAAATAACAATATACTCGTGTGTCTAGATGTACGAATTTTCTACGATTACGTCTCAAATAGGACCCAGATATTAAACTGTCACAGTACATTCGACAAAGTAAAATGTTGATAATGCTTGTAACTCCAGAAAGTAAAACTACTATGGCACATTGGCACGCATTAGCCGTATCCACAAATTACCTAATAAGGCAAACTTTATATGTATAGATAAGTGAAATTGCTCGCGACGAGCTACTCACAAACTCCATAAAATGGATTAAACGATGGTATAATCACAAACAATTTTTAAATGAAGTAATTCAAAATATGGTGCGCAGGTGCTACAAAGAATTACAAGTAAAATTAAAATTGTATGATTGAATTTTGTGTAGAAGAAGGAAATAATTGAAAGTATAAATTAATTGATTAAAAAAAATGATAAAGTTTTGGTGATAATAAAAAGACAAAGTAATAAGGAAGAAAGAGAGTAATCTTTTACTCGAGTGCCTATATGGTACATCGGGGTGTACATACACCCGACCCAACTAAGGAAAGACAGCCCAATAACCAATACATGCAAAAAAAAATCGGTGACTTTTTTGTAATTTCAGCGAAAAAGCATGGTTTTTGCTAAATGAGCAATAATGTACTTTTAGTGAGCATCTGACCTATTTTATTGAGTATTAGGAGGCTAACAATGAGTATCACGATCTGTACTTCATATCTTCTAATTCTTTTTCTTTTTCTTATTTTTTCTTTTATAAAACTTATTAAATTATATCTATAATTCACTCCTATTAATTTCAATATGTGAGCCTAATGTAATATGATACTTTTGAAATATGCATTGATATGACATTTTAAAAATGAGCATAACATCGGTACCAAATGAGCATACATAACTTACAAAATGAGTATTACACCAATATAAAATGAGCATACATACTTACAAAATGAGTGTCGAAAAATTCAAAAAACTCATTTAAAATCATTAGTATGCTCAAATATTAAATGAGAATGAATAACCTATGAAATGGGTATCCAAAAAATTAAAATAAGCATTAGACCAATATGCATGGATATGATATTTTAAAATGTATGATATAATGCTCATTTTAAAATGAGTATTACACCAATATGAAATGAGTATAGATAACTTACAAAATGAGCATCGAAAATTTAAAAGAATAATTTAAAATTTCTAGTATGCTCAAATATCAATTTGTGTATGCTCATATTAGTATAACATAAAGAAACATCAATTTCTTATTTCAGACCAACCAATTCCTTAAATTAAATGCACATTTAATTTAAATAATATACTCATAATTATTTAGAAAGTTGGAGCTTTTAATAGAAAAGTGAGAGAGGTGTATATTCTTATTGAATTGTCATTCGATATGAATTTTTGAAAGAATTGTCTGAAAAAAATCTTGTAGAAAATTTACATTAAAATGAAAAAGAAATAGGAGTTCAAAATTAGAAGAGAAGAGACAAAAGTCATATATAAAAAGAAAAAACAAAAGCAGAAAAACAAAAAGAAAAAGTTAGAAAATTTAAAGTTCAAAATTAAAGGAAAAGAGAAAAAGGAAAATAAAAACTGAAACAAGAAAAATAAGAAGAGAAGGGAGCAAATGGGAAAAATAAGAAAAATTCTAATTTTTAAAATTAGAAAAATTAAAGTTTCAAAATTAAAAGAAGAGAAGAAAAAAAGTAGCAGACAAAAGAGAGAGAAAAAACAATAAGAAGCTACCAACAAATGATATGTGAAGCAGCATAGAAAAAATGTAAAATATAAAGAAATGAAAAAAGAAAAATCAAAGAGCAAATGAGAAGAGCAAATGGGAAGGAGGGAGCAACCGAAAGAAAATAAAGAAATCAGATAACCTTCTCCCTAATTAGTAGTCTCTCTTTTGCAAGTAATTACAAAATTACCTCGATGTACCAACTCACACAGTACACCCAGGTGTACAATATATTTTGCCCTTTTACTCCGTTTTAAATACTATGTCCACTCATGGCCCTTGTAATATCAACCAGAGATGGGCATAGGTACCAACAGGGCCGGTCCTGAAAAAATATGGGCCCTGTGCAAAAAACAAATGTGACATTTTCCTAAAATAACTCTTATTTAAAATTTAATAATGCTTATAATATTAAATTAAAAATTAATGTATCACTATCTAAAATAGAATTCATAAATGTAAGATGTGTTTGGAATTGAATGGATAATTTGTCAAAGTAATATTTATATAAAAAATTATAAATATAGTTGATAAATCTAATGAATATTTCATAAATATCTAATTGGTTATTAATTTAATAATGGCATGGAATAAAAAAATAGTCATTACTTTGATTACATATTAATTTCAATAATTGTAGTTGATGGTATTGGGCTTAAAATCTTATGAGTTATATCAATAATTCTTTGGTACAAAAACAAAAATTGAAAGAATGTTAACATCAACCAATTTGGTTGAGCTGGTTCACCGCCGGGTGTGTGAGAAAGTTGGCAAGGGTTCGATTCCCCTGGCTCAAAACTTTTTAATTAAATAGTGGGATTTTACTCATTGGGTTCTAATTAGTTAGAAGGACTACAAAAAAATTGGGCCTTCAGGATTTTCGGGCCGTCACTTGGCCTGGGCCGGCCCTGGGTACCAATGTATTACGGCGGAACAATGAGACTAGCTATAAGGATAAGGAAGCAGTATTAAGGTATTAATTACGGAGTATATTATACTCCAAATACTCAATTATCAGAGAGAGAGAGTACCAGATATGCCAAGGACATCCATGTCAGGGTATTCGATCTGAAGAAAATCAAGAACGTTTTGCACCCCCTTGGAGACCATGTTCATACCCATGGCATCACCAGTACTGCAGCTGAACCTCATATAAAGATTCTTCCCAGCTATTGCACACTGAATGCTTTGCAATCTGCCAAATCGGCTTGATCTGCAGGCATGAAACACTACCATTTCAATAACTTGCATCGTACTTCGTATAAAAAAAGATATTAAGAGTGAATCTCACTTGTTGAAGGTTGCGGCAATAGTCTCAAAGTTCATAGGATCCTCAACAAAGAACTTCAAGTCTGCAGCCCTCTTGGCAGTGGCAAATCTCACAACTGGAGCCCTAGTCATCCCATCTTTGAGAAGCACACTAAAGGCACCACCGGAAGCACCTATAGCCTTGCAACCCCGGTTGGTGCTAGCGACCAGGCATCCTTCCGTGGTGGCCATGGGAACAGAGTACTCTCTCCCATCAAGCAGCAACGGCCCTGCAATTCCCACTGGGATTTGCACGTAACCAACTGGCATCTCACAGCACTGCCCCAGAATGGTCTCATAATTAAATCCTTCAAGCGGAAGCCCCTCCAGTGACTTCCCAGTAATCCTCTCCAAGGCATGGCGTCGAATGGAAGCAGCGCGTTTACAGTCTCCAAGCTTAGATTCCAACGAATATGAAGGCGTTTCCCCCTCCACTACAGATCTGATGATCTCCTCATCCTTCTCTGATGAGGTTGGTGTGATTATGGGAGCAGGCTTCTCAGACGCCGTCATGTTTACCTTCGCTGGATGCTGAGGGACCTTTGCGGCAATTTTCCGAGCAGGTGGTGGTGCGGGTACGGAGCAGCCCAGAGTGGTGGCAGCGGGCCAACTCCCGCGACGGCTGTCCTCTTCCAGTATGTACATCTCGTCGCTCTCGTCCTCCACGTCCCAAAAATCCTGGTTCCCCTTGAAGATAAACGAGTGAACAAATCCGATCCCGAAAAACCCTAGAAGGTAAATCGTGGACACGAACAACCCGAGCAAAGCCGCGAGCTCCGAGAGAGTTACCACGTGCAGGGGGGTGGAGTTGCGGATCTTCTCGCGCCACCGCTGGAGGAGGAAGTACATCACAGAGAAGAACATGGTGAAGAATACTCCATTCGCTGCGTACAGGGAGAGGGCGACTGCGTCGGAGGCATTGGGGGATGATACTTTGGTAGAGTTCTGTTTGAGGGGTTCGTCGGGGGTGGGGGAATTTCCTTGGTAAAAGGGCTTGCTTGATCGCCGGCGAACATCCATTCCTGCAAATCAGACGAACAAATTGCACAAATTTGTATTATCACTTTCTTATTTGGTGCAAGCCGTTCGCCGGATTTGAACGAGAAGAAATCAACTGAAATGGTACACTACTTATAGAAATGATGGGGCGGGTCTGACGGTTGGCGCGCTGGCGGCTGGACTATCGGTCAGTCAAAATTTTGAACTTTTATGAATATTTATTACCGAGTATTTATTTATTACACATGATTTATAGAGATATACTCCATTTAAGAATTGGGATTTCATTACGGCATTTTAAAAATAATTTTCAATTCATATTTTAGAAATTGCCCTAAATAAGAGTAAAAACGTTTTGAAATTTCAAAATAGGAGTATCATGTTTTTTATTTCTTGAATAAGAGTAATCTATCAAGTTTGGAAAAAAATGCCAGGTTTAAAAGCCTAGTAATGCCAAACTTGGCAGAAATTTACTCCTATTTATGGAATAAAAAACATGATATTCCTATTTTAGAATTTCAAAACTTTTTTACTCCTATTTAGGGAATTTACTCTAAAAATATTACGGCATTTTATTCCTATTTAGGGAATAAAAAACATGATACTCCTATTTTGGAATTTCAAAACTTTTTTACTCCTATTTATGGAATTTACTCTTAATATTTCTTATGATAAATCACTCCTTTTATACTACCTCCGTCCCAAAAACCTTTGTCATTTTAAAAACTTTGACCAACTAAATCTTTTTAGGTTAAAGAGTCAAATCAGCCCCTGCCACCTTTCTGGATTGCTCAATGTGTCCCCTGACTTCAAAAAAGCTCCAATTGGCTCTCTGAACTCGATAAAATGATTCAAATTTTACTTTTTGAGAGTCACAATCCGGTCATCGCCACGTCACCTGGTACGATTCCAACTGTGCATATGACGTGGCAACTTAAGTGGTCAAATAAGCCCCTGAACCTGATTAAATCGTTCAATTCACCCGGCAAATTATATCCTACACCTGGGTGTATAGATACACCCGGTTTTTTGTAGATAAACCAACTTCAATCCTAGTCAGCATCCTCTTCCGCAGCCATTCCTCTTTTCTTTCTTTTCTTCCACCGCCTTCCACTTTTCCTCTTTTTCTTCCGCCGCCTTCCACTTTTCCTTTCTATCTTCCGCCGTCATCAATTCTGATCGTTATGTTTACTTTTTGTTTTTGTTTTTGTTTTTTTATTTTCTTTACTTTTTTTAGTGGTTCTGATTGTTAGGTTTTTTTTGTCTTTTTGTTTTTTATTTTCTTTACTTTTTTTAGTGGTTGATTTCACTTTCTTTGGGTTTATCTTTTTCTTTTACTTTCTTTACTTATTTTCTTTGTTTTTTTTTTACTTCTTTTCCTTTCTTTATTTGTTTTACCTCTTTCTCTTTTTCATATATTATACCGAGCACATTAGAAATGAGTTTTACCTTAAACTGAAATGAGTAAAACGCTTAAAAAAATGAACATACACAAATGAACTTTTGAATTTTTGAATACTCATTTTGTAAATTATGTATGTTCATTAAGTATCTCTGTTATGCTCATTTTTAAAATGTTTTAGCAATGCACATTTCAAAAGTCTAATACTACATTAGATTTATATAAGAGTTGGTTATAAACACGAGACAACAAATCATGATACTCAATAGCGGAGGCTTGATGCGCAGGAGTGGAGTCTTGACCGAAAATTAAAAGGGAGTAGCTCCAGCACCTCAGCCTATCAAAAATACCGGGTGTACGATATAGGCACCCAATTCACCCCCTCAACTAAAAAAATGTCAAAATTACGAAAAATAGAAATAAAAAATGAAAATAGATAATTAAAAATAGAATAAAAAATAAGTTAAAAATATAAAATATAAATATGAAATATTTGTTTTTTTTGGTAAATTCAAAATATAGAAATAAAATACTACTCCATAGTATAATCTAAAAGAAATTAATTCTTATATATAATACGTAAACAAGACTTTAATACTCCCTCCGTTCCAAAAAATTCTTCCCGGTTTGACATGACACGCTTATTAAGAAAGTGGAATAAAATGGAAATGTATGGTTGTGGTTGTGTAAGAAAAAAGTAAAATGAATGTGACCCACACAAATTGTCCAAAATGGGAAAGTGGGAAGTATTTTTGGGAACAACCCAAAAAAGGAAAGTGGGAAGTATTTTTGGGAACGGAGGAAGTATTATAATAATAAATAATATAAATATGTAGTTACTATTTTTTATATTTTAATTCTTATATATGAGTAATTTTTATATTACTATACATATAAAAACGTGTAATTGGTAACTTTGAAAAAAAATAGTTACATAAAAATTGTATTTTTATTTTAAGTATATTTTTAAATAAATTAAAAATTATGAAATGAAAAAATAAAAATAGATTATTTAAACATAATGCTTCGTATAAATTATCAAACCAAAAACCTAAAATTTGTGTTATATTACAAACCATTAGATGTGATGCATAAAATAAAAATTTAAATATAGTTGGTAAAAATACATTGTTTATTTCTTATATGAAATTTATGTAGTACGAAGTAGTTATAAAATATGGAAATAAAGTTAAAGATTTTTTTAGTTTATATTTTATTTTTGATTTTAAATATACCGTAAACGATAAATATTTCATATTAATATATGGTAAATTTTCAACATGTATTTTATTTATAATTTTATTTATTATTTATTATTAATTTATTATTTAATATTTATTATTTATTACTCCCTCCGTCCCGTTGGAATGTTCCCGTTCACTATTCATCGGTCAACTTAGGTCACTCCTAATCTTTTACTTTATATATCAAATTTTAATCAAATTGAACTTTTCTTGATCAAGCTCTGTAGCGGGTTTAATGTAGTTTCTGAATATGTAAATTTTATTTACTAAAATTAAGCGGAGTGTGAACAGGGATCGAGTTGATTTATCGTCAGTCAAGCATCGTAAACCGAACGGGAACATTCCAACGGGACGGAGGGAGTAATATTTTTTTTCTTCAAAATTTCGACATTTTTTAGGGTTGATGGGGTAAATTGAGCGATTCGGTCGGGTTTAGGGGCTTATTTGACCCCTTAAGTTGCCACGTCACATTCACAGTTGGCACCCTACCAGGTGACATGGCGGTGACCGGATTGAAACCTGCAAAAAGTGAAATTTGAATTTTTTTATCGAATTCAATGTGCCAATTGAAGTTTTCTTGGGTTGAGGCAAATTGAGCAATCCGAAAGGGTACATGGACCTGTTTGACTCTTTAGCCATCTTTTTATTGTAAATTATTTATAATATAAAAATTATATGAAAATGTTCTTTATTAAAAATACTTTCATAAAATTATAAACTTTATAACTTTTATAATATTATACAAATCAAAATCATGGTTCGATTTTTTGAAATGACAGTTTTTTGGGACGAAAGTAGTATTTTTTACCCATGATTAACAACCATAGAATCTCATTTGATCACTTGTTGTCAGCCTTTATCAATCACACTTTAAGGGCGTGTTTGGCAGTTAGCGGTTAGCGGATAGCGTATTATGTTAGCGGGTTATCAATAGCGGATTCGGTCAGCGAGTTTGACTAGTATAATAAATTGGCGGATTATCAAAAGATGTTTTGTAATTTAGTTGTTTGGCCATAAAATTAGTAGAAAACATCATTTTTCAAAACGTCAACCCAAAATTCTCATTTTAAACGCGTTTTCATTTTAGCGTTTCCGTTCAAAAACGCTAGTGCCGAACAACTATTTACCAAACATCTTTTTCACGCATAGAAAACGCTAAAAGTGGCCAAATAGCCATTTTTCGACTGAAACCCCGTTTACCAAACGCCCCCTAAATAGCTTTTGGAATTCAAATGCATCAATTTCATTAGTTATCCTCCTTACTTGTTGTCCTCTCATTTCACCTATAACTATATGCATAGATCGGTTTTATCAACCGGAGAACAATGGGTGAAAGAGTTTTGTCCCCTAAACTCTGTGAATGTCATATTTACTTAGATGTTTTTTGGTATTG